AGCAACCATTTGGGATGATTGGATTTGCTCCAAAGGCTAAAAAATAGACTTAGACTGTATCATATGGTCGACTTTGCACTGCTGTAAATCCGTAATTGGATAAATTGCAGGCAAAGAAAGCCATTTTCCTGCGGGGGGATAAAAAAAAAAGGGACAAATGTGCCAAAATCAGTTCAGTTTTTTCTCCTCACAAAAATCATTACTGCATGAAATAGCCGTTATAGCACTGGGCAGCTGTATAAAATAATAGTATAATCATGACGTCAACGCTGCCGTGTCTCGTAGCACCAGTGTCTGAGTTTCTCATTTTAAATGCCTAACCTCACACAAAGCTAGAGAAAAAAAATAAAAAAAACAGACACAGAAGAGAAGAGACAGACAACATGGGTAAGTCATTGAACTGGTAGATCGTGGGGGGAACACACTGAATGCTTTCCACACTGAAGGTTTCATCTGGGCTCCGAGCATTTGCAGACTGCACATGAATTTCACCCTAGCAGGAAAAATAAAAAAGACTGAGGTTCAAGGCAGTCCTCTTGTCAGAAAGAAATTGGAAAGCCTTTGTTTACTGTACAGTGGGCTATGTGATGGAGGAATAGTAAGTTTACATGTTTTGGGTGTCAGAGGGATTTGCAAAGCTGTAATACTACTGAGGAATTAACCTCCTGTATTTCCTTGCACTGTTTCCTAACGTTCTGAGGGTACAGAGGTGTTTGCATTCAGCATCAGTAGTAGAGCACCTCCACATACAGCGCTGGCTAAGCTTTGGTTGTTTTATTTAATTTAGTCTACAGACAGAGACAGATTGTCGTCTGGTTATTCTCCCCGCTTATATTTATTTGTTTATTTTGAGGTCACATGCACTGCTTTGACATTTCATATTTTCTCTTCATTCAGTCACTGATAAAAAACAAATTAAACATGGTAGGCAACTTTTCATTAATTCACCACAGCAATCTCCTACATGAAACATTACCTAAATAGATGAATCCCCTTGATCATCGGAGGCACCCTGGGTGTTTCAAAGTGGCAATATCCCGAGGATTGCTGCATTGATATTACACTTTAATGCAATCTCAGGAGCCACTGAGCAGCCCAGTTTGATTGGATAATACCGTCACATTGAGCTCTCAGGCATAAATCTTCATTCATATGTATAAATCACTCAAAATAGAGCAAGGGGATTTGGGGCACAAATCCAAAAAAGCAATAACCATGACAGAGGAAAAGTCCACTACAACACATTTCCACAAGCGACTGAGCAGTAACTGTTATGGCTTGGAAGGAGCTCAGTTGTATAGGAAGTAGGAGATAGGACATGGGGCTCTTCAAAACACTTTTAAATGAACCAATCATCCCCACGATTGTTATGGAGACAGTCAATCAGGAGGTAAATCCAGCGCTTGTTGAGGACACTTGAGCACATGATGAGGAAGAAGCAACAACTATATATCTACAAGGACTGTGAAGTGTTTTTTTTCTTTTTTTTTTTTTTCTTGAAAATATCATCTGCAAACCACTGCACACAGCCAAGTTGTGTCTGGGAGTGTCAAGGCATCTCATACATTTCTTATTCCACACATTCGGTATCATGGAAGGTTTTATGGAAAAAAAAAAAGCAGGGGTAATTCAAGTCAGGGGTGTGACATTTATTCTCACGGCAGTTCCAGTCAGCTCCGGGTGAAACATGGTTGCACCACAGAAGTCAAGGTTGGAGTATCACCTGCTCCTAAAGGAATATTTTTGGCCCACAATTTGAAATTCAACAGTTCTTTTTTTTTTTTAAGTTCTGCACAACGTTACAATAGGACTACTACTGACCTTGAGATTTGTCACTGACTATATGACTTCATTCCTTCACTACCTACTTTTAGGTTGACAGCTCGGTCTAAGTTACTTGACTTCAAAGTCCTCTTTGATATGGATTTCATGTAACATCCGTGCCCAAATGGCTGACCCCAGAGAGTCTTTCTGTTCAAAAGCCCTAGAGAACAGTGGATCTGATCTAGGAGCCATAGTTCATTAAGATAATCTCAGTTTTAATGACAGTATTATGCACAAAGGAGCTCCGTGCAGCGATGGGTTAAGCTTTTCTTCTTCACAGATACACAACCAGAGGACACCACTGGACAATGTAGAAGCGGGAGGTTCTCAGCCTAACAGTAAAGTGCTGGGCTGCCACCTAATGGTTCAGCCTCACTGTCTGTGTAGGGGAAGTGTTGCATGAAAATTTTTAACCATTTCCCAACTGATGTTTGCTTTTATCCAAAGCACTGTAAGCTGCCACAACTGCATTACGTTTTAAAGAGAATTCCTCCACAGGAACCAAACCCTGTAGCAGTGTCAGTACAATATTTTAGACACTGATTCACAAAATTTAACTCACATATTCTTGTGTTAAAATTAAACTCAGAACATGCATTGGCCCGACTGCACAGAAGATCTAAAGAAATGAGGCTTTAGAGCTTCTTGAGACCTAACTACATACTGTATATCCTTAGGGGGCAAGTTCACACTGGCATAAATGTGATTTGTGGGTGTGACATGTTTTGGCTGCATCAACATAACAAGAATAAATGAACAGCAGGCAGGAAGGCTTGATACATGTAGGCTGGATTAGAGAGACACAGACAGAGGTGCTTTTATTCGTGTCATTCCTCTTTTTTCTTTTACCCCACCACATTGGTCCCTCAGTTCAAACACTGAGTGATTGGCACTGCAATCACCGGAGAGTTTCCTGGCAGGAACTCCAACTGTTTATAAATGCAGAGCACGGCCAAGAATTCATATTCATACAGTGCATTTCAAGTGTCACCTACTCAGAGTGTTCAGACTCAGAGCACACTCTCTAGGCACTCTGGCCGTGGAGGTGCATCAAAGCCTCCAAATAATTACAGCGGTAGCCATATGATATCAAGATGGTTTAGCTTGCAAGCAAACCGCTCTGTACTCCGCGTAGATAAAACAACTCTTCCTCTGGGCAAAATGCATATGACATATTTTCATCTTCTCTTTTATCTGCCGATGGAATCTCTTTCTGCCAATGGACTTTTATTAAATTTTTTTATTTTTTTATTTGGTTGATTTCCCAATGCTCGCTGTTTATGTTACTGAGTGATAGTATTTCGTAGTTGTCTTTCTGTCTGCAACTGTGTGTTGAATCTGTTATCTTTGCATGAGTCTCCATTGTAAATAAGATTGGAAATTTCACTGTGGTTAAACAAAAGATAGGAGCTATTTGCAGATATAATTCAGATATGCTAGAAGTATATCTGGATTCATATAGACAGTTCTGGAGGCATTGAACTTTTTTGTTAACTATTAGTTCCATACAGACCCACTGCACATACTGTAGCATGACATAGAGCCAGATGTAATGTCATTACTCAGGAACTGATGCAGCCGTATGTTTCATCACTTACAGTAATCTTCAGTATAACAAAGTCAAACCTGCACAACAGTTAACGTCCTTGTCGCTAATGTTGCTCATTCCCAATCAACAGAGGCGGGAACAATATACTTTAACATACAAAAAGCCATACACAGAAACTTGGCAATATTATTAAAATGCAATCAATGACATCTGTAAATGTCTCTACGTTACAGAGAATGCATCAATAGAATGACATCATTAAGAATCACTGTCAACATATCGGCATTGAAACTTTTCTGCTTTGGCCAATTCATCCAGAACAGTAGAATTTTCAAATTTCAAACACGTACTGTATCATCTATGTGACTTTTGTTTGACAAATATTGTATTTACATCCAGTTTCCATTTTTGTCTGTCAACTGCCATCCATTCTGCCAGGGCTTAGACTGCAGCAGGAAGGTTTAACACTGTTTAAAGACACTTGGAGACATGATACCAGCTCATTAGCACTGGTGTCAACTTTCCCCACCAGCAGGCTCTTTGCTGCCATTTTGCTCAACATAAAACCCCACTCGTGCTGCTAATTGCATTTCCCCAGTTTAAAAACCCTGGTATCCAGTTCCATTTCAGGTCCATATGCTCCAAATCTGAGGCCATTTTCTTTTTCCCATGTATAACATCCTACCCAGTACAACTCTTTGCTATACAGCTCTACTGCATTGTTAGAGTCTCTACACCTATATTATGATCATATACCTATGAAGTCATGTGATTCTTATCTATTCTTTACTGTACTTACTTGTACGGTGCCTTAACATACCTTTGCACCTTTGTTTAATCAACTACTATCTGCCTGAATTCAAAATGTATCTCTCCACCATTCAACCAAATAAAACCCTGCACATTTGTTACAGTTAATATGGTGATTCTGATGCAGATGTGAAGTTTCACCACTGGAAAAAAAAGAAAAGAAAAATCATCACGCTGTAAATAAAAACAGAAGCCAACATTCTGTGCCAGTGGCTGCAGCATCTCATTACCCTGCTCATTATTGTTCACCTCAGTGCGCCTTATTGTCCACAAGAGGTCAGACATTAACAGCAGAAGTCATAAATACTGTACGGAATACCTCTGCATCGTTACCAGCAGCTAGAAGTCGAGGCCAGATAGAGAGCTGAGCCATTTCATTTGATCTGTCTCAAGTTTTATTGTGTAATGAAAACGTTGAGTTTCCTCTGAGAACAAAAAAAACAAACTGCAAATGCACCTTAATGCATATGTGGAGAGGTGGGTGCAAGCCACTGACATCCACAACAACAAAGTGTCCTCAGGAAGTCTTCCTCTCTTTGTTTGATCATTTCATTTTTTTTTTCAGCTTGCAAATTTAGTGGAGAAAATTCACCTCATATAGTGTTTTTTTTTTCAGTACAAAGGGTCGACATATTGTTGTTTACTTTCCGTAAGTTAGGCTGGCCTGGCCCACTTGACTCAAAAGTGGTTGTCACGCCTTCTTTGTTAAAGGAGGAAGGTTCATACCGTCACTAGATCCCGTGTCTCGGATACTAAAGCTTGGCCCTCACCGCCTCACTCAAGCTGTATCATTTGTAGTAGTTGCGCAACAGTTTACACACAACAATGGAAACCGGAGTGGGAAGTAGTCATATTCATCCTTGTTCTGAGGGTGCCATGGCAAATGAAGAACTTCCTCTTTAATCTTGTAACCTGTACTGAAGTCGCGTCTTGTTTTTATTTATTTTTGTTTTATTTATTTATTTATTTAGTTAGTTGTATTTTTCTCAAAACCTGGGGATATCTGAGTGCCGAGGTCACAGAGAGTTGGTGGCTCGTTGGATTTTCAAGCAGGAATGGCCACTGCAAGGCTCGATTACGTCGCTCCGTGGTGGACATACTGGCTGCACAATTTCCCGCACTTCAGCTTCTTTTTCCAGTCGGTCGACAACACTTTCAAACCGGAGGAGGCGAGCTACCAGCAGGTTGGTAACTGTACTTGTGCGTAACAGCGCACGTAGTATCCACAGAATCTCACTAGAAAAGAAAAAAAAAACAAAAAAAACAACTCAGTACTTCTGTAGACCACAGACTTTCGAAAAAAAACAACGGCAAACAATATTGTTAAATGTACAGTTAAGCGAGGAGTGGTGTGAGATAAACTGCTGTGTTGAGTGATGAAAGCTTTTTCTTTTTCTTTTGAATGTTATCAGTGAAGCATCAGTGCAGTTCACTAACAGGCAGCAAGTGTCAGGAAGTAAGAGCCCATACTGTGCTGCAGTTCTCACATGATGACACATGACCTGTATTAACTAAGCTGGCTATGAAATGGTCAAGGTGGTAAACAACTATGTAAAGTATGCATGTAAGTTTGTGCACATATCCTTTTTATGTCCTTGATACTCTTCAACACTCAGCTTCGTCATGTGTCTTTCCCCCAACAATAGTTTATCACACAGTCTCCGCCGTATGCACAGCTAAACCCGTTCATTTCTTACCCCATAACTTATCCCTTGTATGAGATGATTGGATTTTGGGTTTTTTTCCCCTCAAAGATTTTCTTTTAAGTGAGATTTGATTGTAAAATAAATGACTAAAAGGTAGAAACAACTGTCCCAGTGTATAAAACAAGTCATGTCTTATAATTTCCCCTGAGTACATTTATGCAGCCATTTGAGGCCATATCAATGTTCCAAACTGTCATGTTTAGTGATGGGGACTGACTGCGGGCAGCAGGACCGCAGTCATTATTTTATAAAATAGGCTGTATGATGGGAATAGTTTTCCATCTGCAGTCCATCACTGCATTACGCCTTTATGTTATGGAGTTCATTTTCTTCCTTTTTTGTCTCTTTGACTCTTCTTTCATTCTTAGTTCAGGAAGTGTTTGTCTACAAAAAATATTTGATTCATCCTCAGGCAGTACACTGCAATACAAAAAAAGTATCATCATATCACAACAGCATAGTTTCACAGCCATGAATTTAATTAAAAATCACTAATGACATTCATATAGGTCAGAGTATCAGCATTGCATTATTTAAGTTATTCTTTTTATTATTATTTTAAGGTATATAAAAGTTTTGGATTCATTTGTTGTGTAACAGAAAGCACTGTTTCCATTGTTTTAAAACATTCATTTAGAGCTTGGAAAGATTTCTTACATCCATTATTTTCAAGGCTTTCGTTCAAAATTCAACAGTAGGCCCCCAAAATATGAAGTGAATTTATAGGTGTGTGTGTGTGTGTGTGTGTGTGTGTGTGCGTGTGCGTGCGCGTGCGCGTGCGCACGCATATCCAAGCGGCACAGCGTGTTCCCCTTGCCCCAGGTCATTTATGAATATAGAAGCCATTACCACAAACCTCCCTGCTCTGACTTGTGTCCTTCACTGTGCCTCTCTCTTTGTGTATCAAGGTCTGTCTGGGTCACTGATTCCCAGCAGTGTCTCACAGCCTCAGCCAAGCAACAGTCGATGAGGAGGAGTGAAGGGTGGCATGTTGGTAGCACAGAGACTGGTGGTGTAGTCTGTAGGCTGGACACAGCCTCTCAAGCCTGAAAATAACTCATGTTCTTAATTTGACACGCTGATGTGTTGTCTTTTGAGAAAAAGTGGAAAGTGCAGAGCAGCCGCAGACACATTTCCTAAGACTCGTTTACTGTTTAATTAAATTAGACAGGCATCCATACTTAAGCTTCCTTTATACAAACATCCTTTTGGGAAGATAATGGATCGATGACCTTCTGGTCAATGAGCATTGATACCGTGGTTGTTTTCCCGTCTCTTTTTTTCTTTCTCCCTCTAATGCATCCTTCGCCTTGTTATGGCAATGCAGCCGGTGGAAATTGAAGTGCCTGCATGCCTAATTACAAAACAATGGAGTGGAAAATTAGAGGAAAGAGTGGGTCTAGCAGCATTGTGCTTATGAAGGGCCTGAACTGAGTTATAGTGACAGCAAGTGTAACTATGGTTGAATCCGTAGACTCTACACACAGCATCTCCTGGCTTCTCAACAGTGTCCTGAAAAACCAATGATTAGCAAATCATTGGATTAAGGTTTTGGCCCACGTGCCAGCTAAGGCAGGGCAGCTCAACTGGCACAGTTTCAGTATTGAACTATTTGGTGAAAGGTGCAATTATTGTTCCATTACTGTATATAATGTCAACTGTATCTTTTTTTTCTGTGCAGTTATGTTGAAACTCTTTATTTAGGCATTATTGGCATCTTATGAGGCCACCGTTGATTTTGGTATGTAAAGTAATGTGCAACAACATGCCAGTTAAATAGTGTGCATCACTGTATGCTCCTTCATTCATTCTGGTCATTGTTTTAAGCCACTGTCTGTTCTAATTTCTATTTTTCTAATTGTAGTATACTCAGTGCTGACCTACCTGATGAGTAGGATTAAGAGCAAAAATGTTGCTCAGCACAACATAACTTAAAAGAGAGTTTGAGCAATGAAGGACTTTGTTAGAATATGCAAAAGAACATCATTTATATGCAGTCACAGTGTCAATGTCGTCCAAATGGAATAATTAGTCACAGTCGTTGTAGTCAAGGAATAGCTCTGTTTAGTCAGCCAAAGCCAGACTCTTTGAACTTGTGGGCATTAAAACTTAAGTGCAGATTGTTTGCAAGTAAAATGAAGGTCATGCTTTTTGCTTGATTGAACCAACCGAGGGTTCAAACGTTATGAGTTTAAACGCACAACATTTCCTTAATGATAAACCACCAGGGATGCTACAGCCTGGACAGTTTGACTCCGATGTACTGATGCCACACTCACTTATCAGTCAATACCACTACTAGTGTTTGTGCAGCAGTATAAATACAACGGTATCAATGGTCGGGCGTTTGTTTTGTGGTGGTGGCATAAAGACAAACAGATCAAGTGATGTGTGTGCTGCTCCTTTAGGCAGCTAATGCAGTGGGAAATGAGATGCTGAAAACTATAAGCAAGTTTGCTCAGTACATGACATGACATTTCTATCAGAAAATGAACAGGATTCATAACCGTTTTTTGTCATGAAAGAACCCCACCCCCCACCCCCCACTATAATCTGATACAAATAAACAATGTCATTTTTATTGCATAATTGCAGTGTCCATATACAGACCACTTCAATACAGTATTTCCTCTATTCTCTCTGCATCACTGTTCTTCTGTTTCTCTTGATCCTTCAGGCTTTAAATATTTTGTACACTCAGAAATCACAAGACTGAATGAAAGCCACTGTGTCACATGATACTCCCCTCCCACAGCCTTGGATCATTTCTGTTTTCCTCTCAGCTGCAGTCCAAGTTCTGCTGTTGCACTTGGCAGAAAAATCCAAGTTTCTTTGTGAGCTCTCCTTGCCCCAAGACCACCTACCTCTGTGTTTCCTGCTGCAGGCAGCAGCCACCAGTGGTAATGTGGATGAAGTAGCTACACACTAACCTCAAAAATATCTCTACACATGAGTGTGGTTTGATAATGGTGGCTTGTTTTCACTCAGGCTGTCAACTTTTGGGGGGTGGGGTCACACTGCCTGACACCTGGAGACCTCACATAATAGCTCTGTGCCTATTTAAAGATATCTGTCGATATAATCTGCTGAAAAGTTCTCTGTAGACTTATTTTTCTGTGTAACATGACATTTTGGTGTTGACTTCAGCTGATGGTATTTCTGTGTTGTTGCATCTCTTCTCTCTCCACTCTCCTGCCTCAGTCTTTGATACTTCTAGCATGTGTTGGTGCAGTGGGTCTCGGTCTGAGCCTGCTGGTTCTGGCAGTATACCTGGCCTGCCTCTGCTGCTGCCGCAAGGACGTAGAAGAAGACACCAAAAGACCCGAAACCTGCTGTGTCACCTGGGCTGCCATCATCGCAGGTCTCATCATATGGTGAGTCTGAATGGTAAAATGATAAAATAAAACCGTTGTGTTTCTTGTTGTACCACTAAACCCACAGATGCACATATGATTACCTCAACTAGTAACTCTACATATACGCATAAATGAACTTAAAGCTGCCTTTCATTTGTTCGGGGATTTTTTACTTTATGTTAAAATTTCCCATCTACTTTGGCCAAACACCAAAAAATAACCTAGACATTAAGGAAGAGGGATGACATTGATAATCCAGGCTTGCTTGAACAAACCATGGATCTGTACTAATGTGCACCTCCATTACCTACCTGTAACTGAAATAACATTTTCGCTTTCTATAGAGTACAAATAAGTATTTCTGACAGGCCACATCATCAGCACGCCCCAATCAGCTGATGGCAAGGTGATGAAACTGTTAAGTCCCTCAGCTGACTCTTCAGCTGACTGTGCCCGCCGAAACTTTGACTGCTGCTTGCTAAGCTTGGTCTCTTCAAATGCTCAACCAGACCAGAATGCTGCAGCTTTGGATATGGCCTTTGAATATTGTACTTCTGAAGCATCTAGTTTTGTACTACTTTGCTCCACATACTGTGCAACAATCTCACAATTATTGGCAGTATTAGTATGTTTGCTGTTGCAGCCGGTTGTATTCTGTGGGTATCTGGGTTGTCCTATAAGTTTTATGTAAGCATGAAAAAACAGGGAACTCCCTTAAATCTTCCAGAGTCACAGCGCCGGATATAATTGTATTTTTTTGTATGATTTAATACACTTTAATACACTGACAGAAATTATCCAGGCAGAAAAGAAAGAGTCCTCCAAAAGGCTTGATTGAATTTGCGTACGGATCTGCTTAAACTTGTGACATTTATCTAAGTGTTGGGCTTTAACTTTGTTAGCTTTCTGTGTCCAAACCCAAACCACTGCTGCAGCACACAAGGTCTGTTGTAATGCTAAGTGACTGGGCATGATGCTGTTTAGCAAAGGAGCTCTGTTTTTTGTTTCTGCTCAAAGCATCCATCTCTCTCTGTAGAGACTTGTTCCAGTATGGCCATTGATATATTCAGCTCAACAAATAAACTGCTGCATACAGCATCCAGTTATATATTCCAGCCATAAATGTGTATGAGATCGAAAAGACAGACTTTACATTTTAAGTTTTGTGGCTTAAAACCACACTCATGGTGGTTCCTACTCCCTCTACAAAAAGTTTTGCTTGCTAATAACAGCATTGGTCTTTGGCTTGAGCTGGTGAAATTTTTGATGTGTTTTGAATATTTAAAGGAGCTATTTATCACAAAAAAGGCTTGTAGAGAAACACAAAGAGCCGCACATATAGCAAAAATGCTTTTATACACTCAACTGTACATATTTTGTCTTTTTTATTCCATTGGGTCATGGGATTTCCATCAGATAAAATGAAGATGTACTTTTCATAATCTAATTGTTTACCATGATCACCCCATTAACTTTTTACCATTGTTCAACTGAGCATGATATTCAATAAGAATTACGTCTCAGTTTCACTGCAGTATTTAAATAGAAAAAGGATTTAAGGGCTGCGGCACCTCTGTGGATGATTATTTCTGACCCCAGGAGAGGGAATAGAGTAAATTGAGGTTAAAGATAGAAAACAAATCTAATATTCTCCAAACCCTTCCTCCCTGTGTCAGTCTCTGTTAACCCTGATATAGTTTATTATTATAGCAATACTCTAGTCTTCACAGAATCAAGGCATTTATCTGTCATTACTTGTCCTTCCAGTGAGACCATTCATTCAGCTCAGCTCACAACATGATCTGAATATTGAGGTAGAATTGTCCAGTCGTGTCCCAGTCAGTGAAGTGATCTATATCCTTGGAGGAATAAACACACTAAATATGATGCAGTGCTCGTATGTCATAGTGTTTAATGTGTGGATTCCTTTTAACACCTCTAGCTGCTGCTAACAGCCTTTTCACACAGCCACAAAAACAATAAAACTTCCCTTAAGACTACACTGCCCTCATGATGTTCTGTGACATTACCATTTCGTTACTGCATCATTAGTGGGTCTTTATTGTCACTGATGTGTCATTCTGTTGGCCACAGGGTTAATGAAGAGCTCATTGTCCAGGCCACTGCAGATCAACTGGAACACAAATGTCTTGAAAAGCGTAAAGAAAGCTTGTTCAATTTCCTTTAACCAACTGAATGAAGTAATTTTATAACCACATCGATGCAATTTGGGTTGTAAGGATTACTGTGATTCATTTTTTGCTCAGAACGGATTGTACAGAATATGGCCCCAGTGCCCCTAATCATAACCAGAGGGAACTAGTTTAATGGAAGAGACACAGACTGTGGTTTTCATTATGCTTACAAGGTTACAGTGACAGCAAGCTAGCTGGCGGACACAAAAAAGAAACATACACCTATAAAGAGACACAGTGACATATCACACACACCGTGACAGGATATATTAACTTCTAAAATAAAACCAAGATGCCACATCCTCATTTGGAACTTAACTAACTTCTTTTGATATCATAGTCTCATCGTGGGGGAGGGTAATGTTTACCTGGCCATGTGTATACCTTGCTGTTTCTGTGAGATTTGGGGGTGGGGGGTGGGGGTTGCAGCACAGATGGTGTTAAAAGTCTTCAACATGTGAGTCGGTAACTAGAACTTAGTAGATTTTCCCTTTTTGTGTTTGTGTGTGCATGAGGTATCCCAGAAACAAGTATCCTGATCTGATCTCCTCCTATCTGAAGTGTGATTATTGAGCTCCCTCCCGTGGGGATGGAAACTGCCCCCAAATGTGGTTGAAAGTGTTACTATAACCCCCGACCTTTGTGTAGAGTGACCTTACTTCAGTCGAGTTTGCTGAAATTGTATCACTTCTCATGTCACTGCAGACTGTTAGCAGCAGGGGTGCACTGACTCTGGGGGTTAGGATGCTAATCCTCCCTTTTACAAAGGCTCAGGCACAGTCACAAAAGGTTGCGGGAATGTGGGAAATGGGGATCCTGTGTATTCCACTCTGATACTTTTTTAGATGTGGAGCAGAATTCTGATGTGGTTTTAGCCAAGAATGGGATAACACATTCAAACATACAGTTGAAAATATGCTCATCGCCAAATCTCAAAATGTAACAAAGAAGGGAAAGCAGCACACGGAGCTAATAATGGGTGGAGGTAGAGATTGTATAGGAGGGAAATATGAAAATTTTGTCTTTCATATGAAACATCCCAGCACTAGGAGGAAGAGACGAGGGAAGCAAGTACAGTAGGAAAAAGAGTATTGTAAGAATGCAAAATTTTTACCAGACTTCATTAAGGCATCTTACAAATACAAGTCTAGGATGAAAATTATGCATAATCATGATTTCATAGTTAGTTATTGTATGTCTAACCAAAGATTCATTTATTTATTCATGGTTTTGTTAAGAAACAATTCCAGTTGCCAGTGGCATGTTTTAGTCTGTGCGTGCACAGTAATAAAGCCTCAAGAATAAATACAAAGCCTTTTGTGGTATGATTCATACTGTATTTCCCTTAAAGCCTCAAAGTTTCTCCTTTGGGAATTTCTGAACATCTCTTTGTCTTAATTGTCCTCTAATAACCTCGGGAAATCCATTATCCGGAAGTAGTGCAATAAAATAAACAGGCAATTAATTATGTTTATTCATTAGATAATTTTTTAATCTGAATCTTTCCTTTTTCCACAGTTCTGCTGTAGGACTGGGTTTCTATGGAAACAGTGAGACCAACGATGGGGTTTACCAGCTGACCTACTCACTCTACAATGCCAATCACACGTTGGGTGGCATCAATAATCTGGTGAGAGAAGCATGTCAAGCTTTACTCAACAACCTGGAGTTGTATCATCATAAACATTAAAAGTCTCATGTGAAAAGGAGTTTTGATTTTGTTTTTTATAAACACACAGGTGGAAAATAAAAGCTCTGAAAATCTGACTGCTGCCATTCTTCTGGCTCTCCCATAACAGGATGGCCTCCGAGCTTTATAAGTTCAGGTTTTGATGATCGATAGGCAGCAGGCAGCTGCGTTGTCTGTGGAAGGGCAAGACGGTTTAAACAAACCTCTGTTGGTAATGATAAGTTAAGGACAGAAAGTTTTGTTAGCATTTCTGTTGAAGAGCAAGGAGTTTACGTCTTGACCGTTTTAAGCAGCACTAGTGTTGTAGCTGCAGTGCGCAGGCTAACAGTTCGCTGCTGCTGTCGAGGCGGAGGTGTGCTGACTGGCGCAGAGCTGGGTGAACAGTGTAACTGTAGACGTATATTAGAATCCACATTTTGTGTTTTACCAATCCCGCAGCCATGTTTCCTCCTTCCGCCAAATCTGATCCCAGGCCGCCGTGTGAGTTGATGTGTCCTTAGCCAATCAGAACGTTTGTTGATGAATAGCGGGCAGTTACTTCCACCTAGAAGCAGAATCTGACCATGTGTGGCACTGTAACACTTTTTTTTTTTTAAAACATCATTACAGAGGCGTTTCAGAGACACACATAAACAGTACAGTCTATTAGTGTTAAAATATGGGACCTTTAAATGTGGTCACCGAAATGATTTTTATTTATATCAGTTGCAATTTAACAATATTACAGTTGAATCACTGCAAGATGACCACACAATAAATGTGTCAGAGCTGTAAGAAATATGAACGCTCATTTGCTGTAAATATCTACTTGTCTCATGCTTCTTATATTATGGCTTTTTTTTTTTTTTATATTTTCAATTACCAACCTCTTTTATTAGCTGTGATGGCACAAAGCATGATCGTTTCATGGCTTACTGTCTCACTCTGCTTGGAAACACTGATTCACAGCTGGTAGACACCAGAGCTCCTTCTTTATTAATGGGGTGCGCATCTGTCTAAGAGTAGCACTTCACCGTGGGGGGTCTGTATCCGCTTTTTGTCACAGTGAAGGAATTGAGGTGACTGGTGCCTCCAGGATTTGTAAATAGATTTTTTTTCTACACAACTCCTGACCTGCATTCAGGGAAGTTATTTGGGAGGCTTAGGGAGGGGTAGGAAAGAGGAAGGCGAGTGAGGGAGTTTGAACAAGGCCCTGCAAGAAGCAGTAATCACAATGAGGAAGAAGAGGATTAACGCCCATCTGCAGTACATTAATGGATGTTAAGCCTCTCCTCTTTCCATCTCTCTCAGTCTTACTATGTGTACTCTGTGTGTGTGTGTGTGTGTGTGTGTGTGTGTGTGTTTGTATGTGAGTATGTGTGCATGGCCATATCAGTATCACACATCCACTTAAAGGCCTCATATGCACGCATGTTATATTAATGTATGGACACAAATGGATTTGTGTGCAGCCTTTCATTGTGTACTCTGAAAATCACTGTATAGGAGGAGCTAACAGATTCACATTTAATACATTTATAGGTCACAGAGTGATTTCTATCATACAACCAGATTATTAGGCACACCAAGCAACACATTCGATCTCTGTGAAGGTTATAATGTTCAGTTTTTGTTGAAAGGTTTTTCCTCTTTTCATTTCACTTCTAAAATCCCCTTTGTGGGCATATCAGAAGCTGTATTTAGTCCACCCTCATTGATATATGTGTGGTGGACAAAAGATAAGAGACATTTTTGCAATATAATTCAGCGGCACCACCACAAATGGCTGTAAAGTTGAACGAATACCTCTCAACAAGATGTGAACATTAACCTTAGGACCATAGGATTGATTCCATATCCTTGTGTTAGATTGTATTTGTCTCAGCTTGGCATAACAAGTAACCTTGTGAAGGTGTGTAGTGTAGTTTGCAGAGCCACATTTTCTTTGTGCTGTAGGAAGTAAATGGGATTGATATGATTGTTTTACATCCTTGCTGCCGACTTTCTCTGTAGTGTCCTGGTATTGATTTGATACTGTAGCATGATTCAGTATGCTATGGCTGCATGAGAACCATAGATGTCCCTCAGGGGAACGAAGGCTTTCTCACTTGCAGAATCATAGCTTGATGTAATGTACTCCACTTACAGAGCTGATGAGCTGGCCAGCTGTCCATCCCATAAAGCTAAAGCTGCTTTAGTCTGTGTTTAGTCTTGAGAATACCCTTTCTTTAGCAAACTCTTCCGTGTATGTTTCTATTAACTTGGTTCAAAAGTAATTGCTTCAGCAGTTTACTTTACCTTGAAGTCTTAAATATATTTCCTTTGTTGCATTTCACACACTGGGTTGATATCAGATTTATCCAGTTAAATAAATAGGAATAAGGGCGACCAAATCTCTGCTTCACAAGGCTCCTGTGAGGTTCACGCTAGGAGCGGTTTGGCTCCACTGATGGCTTGTTAAGGCTCTTCTCATCACAAAATATGCACTCTCACACTCTGCAAGGGATCATCATGAGTCACAGAGGGAAAGATTTGATGAGGAGGACCATTCTCCCTTTGTTATTGGATGGAGGTTTTGATTATTCTCAGGCAGTCTTTATTTCAACCTTATTTCCAGTGCACGGCTCTCATTATTAAGAGCTCTTCAGTGCGGCCAGGATATACCGGTTTAGAAAAACAGGGCAATTACATTGCATTTATCCCACTTTACGGCCATGCTTATACTTAAATGTATAGCCCTTCCTCTTTCGAAAGCTGTCTTGTGAGTTTTGGAACAAAATGATTGCCACTTTCTGCACCGTACATCAGTTCCCCTGAATGTCTCTCTTCAGTGTCCCATTTCTTAATGTATTACTCAGCTTCATTTCAAAGCACTGTGATCATATATGTATTGTCGTATTGTCACAGCTGATACAGTAAATCTCAGATATATAAAATCAATGGAGGCATCAGGCAGAGCAGTTCAGTTGCATGTGAAGTGGCATTTGGAGTACTGCTCCTGTGAGCCTCAAATCAGTCAGTCTCATTTAACAGGCGTGTCCAATATGGAGAAGCCTCCTTGTGACCCGCTTTCAGTAAAAGCGAGCTTTAATCCATTTTAAAGGAAGACGGGACGGTTCAGATTAGGGAAATGCGGATCACCCAGAGCAGCTAGCTGATGGATCCCATTTCTCACACTCAGGCAGACTGGCTTGCAGATAAGATTCAGGGTGTTGTGGCAGGAACTGTGAGAGATGATGAACATAGAGGTAGGGAGTGAGAGCAGTTTACTGGCAATCACATACTCTCTCCCCCCTTGGGAGTGTTGGAGTGGATGGGCCTGGATCTTTGCCTCATCTCCACATGGATACTCTTTCTCAGGAAAGGCATCAGAAGCATCAGAATTTAATCAAGAGTATTTGAAATGTTATAGTGTCAGGGAGACTGAGATACATTTTTATCTTCTTTCACTGTGGTGAATTTTCACAGCGTGCAAATGAACAGTCTCACGCAAAATACTTGAACGCGTGGAAGAAGTCATGGGTATAATGATGAGAAAAGATGATAGATAAAGGAAGCGGGACTGCAGCAAACTGTTGTAGATTAAAACACAGAAAACAACATCTGTTCAGAATTAGTGGAGCCTCCTACTCGGTGTTATAGTAAGCAAAGTCACTGTGGTGTGGGTGGGTACATGTCATCTGTTATATTATTGTGAGTTTTGGAGGTCATTTACAGTATCTTCACTGTTCCTGGAACCACACTTCTCTAGACAAAAAACATAAATATAGAGTTTATTTGATCTAGAATATCCACTCTTGAGAAAAATAGTTTTTGGGAGATACACATATTTGTTTTCTGGTGCATGAGAAGATCAATACTACTCTCATATTTATAGGCTACATTGTATTTGGTTAGTTTAGCACAAAGACTGGAAAGAGAGCGGGGAAGCGGCTAGCACGGCTCTGTCTAAAGGTAACAAACTTGTTATATCTTCTTTATTCAATCTGTACAAAAACTGAAGTGTAAAACTGCTCAGAGCTGAGAAATAGTTCCCTCTGGTAAAATGGCCAATTGTTTACATGTTGTTTTTTTGTACAGATTAACTTTCCCCCTGTTTCCTGTCTTTGTGCTAAGATATGTTAACAGCTACTGGCTGTAGCTTTCTATTTAACAGACCAATGGGAACGGTATCGATCTTCTCCTCTAACTCTCTGCCAGAGAGTGCATAAAATGTTGAACTGTTCCTTTGAAGAGACAACACTGATTGTCTTCTGCATTCTACATATAGTAATGTTTTCATAAAGATAGAAACCCACTCTGTCAAACACTGTGACTGAGCTAAGTCCATGTATTGAAAGACTTGTCAATCAAGTTTGGAGTGACAGCTGGTTTCAAGCATACAATTTTCACATTTGATGGCAGGGTTACCCTTTTGTTTACATCAGCAGAGCAGATTGTGCCTTTTAATGTCGCCTTTTAAAGTATCTATATAAATAGGTCAAACTACTGTGGCTGTGATTCTCAATGAAATGTTGCTACGGCAGAGAAACTATTTCCCCCTGTCAGCATCAGGCTACAATTGACCTGTTTCTAGCTCCACGGATGCTGTGAAAGTGCAGGCGTTTACTGCATCATATTGTTTTTGTTCAAACAGAGAAGTAAAATGTATTTACTCTGCTCCACCATGCCTCATCCCCCAACTCTGTTCTCACTATCAAAGACCCCTGTGATAACAGGTCTCCCCGGTATTGTTATCAGTATTCCACTCTAACATTGTTTATCTGAATAAAACACACGGTTGAAGAGAAAAGTTAATCTTTTCTCGAGGGAATGCTCCTTTGTTTCTTTCACCTCTCTCTATATTTTCAATCTTCTCTTCTTGAATATCCGTTTTTTATGAATTTATTTAAGTTCCTGTTTCCTTCTGACCCTGTTTTCATTCTGACACCTCTTCACCTCTCCCCCTCCCTTATTCTGTTACCCACTGTTTCTTATTTTCTTTCATTTCTTTCACTCTCTGACCTTTTATTTATTTTTTTATTATTATTTTTTTCAGGTTGGTGGATCTGTGGGCAATGTGGAAACTGGACTTAAACAGCACCTGGAACGGCTGGATGAGATCTTTGCTACGAGGACCGACTACCTCCAAGCTCTGCGCTTCATGCAGCTGATGGTCAACAATGTCATCCGTGAGCTAACCACTCTGCCAGACATCAACAAAGCCAATGCTGACTTGGCAGCCATTGCTGACCAAATAGCCTTCACTGAATATTGCAGGTAGGTGGAGCCTTAGCGACTCCCCTGGGGTGCTTGGCATCATTTTATTTCATCTTAGTGTGGCTGAAGTAAACACACTGCTAAATGATCCAGACCAGACACAGAGCAGATGGGATTTTATCGATATCCCCTCCAGAACACAGACCGGAAAAGCTATTTTTCCTGATTGCTAAATAAAGGAAAGCTGAAATTGAGCTTATTGCCCACTCTGTCGTTTAAGCTCTAATGCTTATTGCTCTCACAGAATGTTACGCATGGCAGAGCAGCTATTAGACCATAAATGATCTCACTCGCAGACCATTGCTTACATTGATTGCAGTTATTATTTTGACATCGTTCTCTCTTTCAGTTTTTTTTTTTTTTAATAAGAGGCCAGAAAATGAAATTCAATAAAAGCAGAAAAAAATAATAAACCCAATCAACAACAAAGTAGTCCAAATGAATAAAATATCCAGCGATGATTCAGGAAGGGAATGCTAATTTATGAGGCTGCTACTCCAAATCGTGAGTGTAATTTGAGAGCTTCTGCATCTTGTTTTATTTTTGAGCACATTAAACGTAAAACTTCATAGTGCTGTTGTGCCGTAAAGTTTCACATTTGCAACCTGTTCGTGACTGTAAAAGTAATTTTGAGTAAATTGGAAAGAGAGACTAACAGAAGACAGATTTAGGGTTAGTTTGCTCCCTTCAGCAAAAGGGTTTATTTGGTGTATGTTATAGACACGAACTTACTCAGGGTGCCAGTGCTTATCTGGATGCATGTGTCGGCATCCAAGTCCTCTAGGAGTTGATGTTATCCCATCAAATTCATCCCATAACTCCTGTCTGTCCCAATATATTACAGGTTTAGTATAAGCGAATTGCAAGGTGTAAAACTCCATTCTGAAATATGTTAAGCACTGAAGTAAAGACAGTTTTATTTATATAGCCCACAATCACAAATCACAAATCACAAATCTGTCCAGCATATGAGACCCTTTCTGCTTAAACTCGCATTGATATTTATTCCTCAGCCTGTTTCAGTGGAACTCACAGAATGTCTGTTGAATCATATTTTTGTGTGTCACACTATGATATATGCCATATATATATATATGTATATGTATGTATGTATCTATCAGATATAAAACTAGTTTTTGCCAAATACATGCAGTACAGAGACTGAAGTAGCCTACACACTGTTGAATCTTATCCCTCAAATGTTACACGATGTGTATGCATCTTTCTAACCTAACTGTGTGTAGCACGATGAGTTGCTACACAAAGAGTTTATAGCTTTGTTTACTTGTCATGATGCTCTTCTTCCTGTGTCTATGGCAGGTTATAGTAGTCACCCAGTCCCTGGTTATATAGAAGATATATAACTGCAGCTCCATATCCACCATATCCTCCATGTTTACAGAGGATTCTGATGTTCCTGTGCTTGTGTAGAGATTTATTCAAAACCTTTCACCTGAAAAAGTTTATGCCTTTGAGCTTTAACTGTAATGAAACTGTCACGACCTGAAAAGTGGGAGCAGGGGATTATAAATGACGGCAAATAATAAGTGATTTATTTAAAGGAAAATAGAGCAGTTAACACAAAATGAACTAAGGACACCCTGGGATGTGGTCATCAGTTTAGTCAGGGATGAGGGGGCGTGTAGAAGAAGAAGAAGTTAGATGGATGAACACAAAACCACAAATGTGCTAGAGAGAGAGGGAGAGAGAGAGAGAGAGGGAGAGAGAGAGAGAGAGGGAGTGAGAGGGAGAGAGAGGGAGAGAGAGGGAGATGTGGGAGCTCTGGGCCCAGGTGCCTCCAACAAGGGAGATCAAAGGTCTCCACCCTCCAGGTACCCGCTGCATAATAGAGACAGCAAGCATAGAGTAAGAACAAGTTGCCTAGAAACGGAAAACAGAAACACTTGTGTTCTGGTTGTATTAACCCGTCTATACAATGGTCATGTATTTTGATTAAAACTAGAAATGTCCAAACTTTCCATGGCTCTAAGTGCCCTGAGGACTTATCCTTGCTGACTCCACTAAAAAGTTGAGCTTGACAGTTAGGAAACAATACAATCTCAGTTCTCAGTGTTGGTTTGAGACTGTTTTTGCCAACTAGAATTAGAAATATACTACAAATTTATGTGCATGTGAAACTCTGATCTGGGGACACCGCAGATATGACTGTCACATCCCGACTGAATATTTATAGTGTTTGCTGTGGACACTGCCTAAAAGTGCATTTTGATTATTAAATTTGCTTTGACTTCTTTTGTGATTTATATTCCTTTTCTCTGTTATGTTTAGTATTTATTAGAAGGTAACTTTCTTGTTTTATACTACATGAGGAATGTGAAGATGTTCGGCACTTTGTAGTTTTAGAGGTGCAAAGGAAATGTGGTTGATGAGAAGTACTTCAGTGTCAGGATCCAGGCGAGAGAGAGAGGGAGCAGATGATCCACAAGTCACAGTTTATTACTTCAAGTACCCTGTGTAAACCTATGTGTAGCAGTAGGTATGTGCCTGCAAAAACTTATGTAAAGCCCTGTAGTGATGGGCTGAAATGGGTCTTTAGTTTGTCTCCAATATAAACTATAAAGCCCAACTTAAATGACAAAACAAGCCAATATTTCAATCTCTAATTTACACAAATCTCCATATTTTCTTTTTTTTTTTATATATATATATATGTTATTGTATCAGCTATGGTAATATCACGTATCTCTAATTCCCGGCATGACAAGGCACAAATAACCACTATTGTATCACCGGTGGTGTTATCTCACTGACCTATTCCTGTCATAAATTTCATACATACATATTCCCACATGGCTCCACAGGGAGTCCTCTCTCTGTCAGCAGATCTTACTTTTGGACTACAGTTGCCACTTTGCGCATTCTGACACCAATCTCCTGGGTCTTGATTGGATTTCATGCAGCCATCGGGCTATGAACAGCCTGTGGCAGGGCTTTATTGATGAACAGCAAATGTTAAGGCCAACCCAGTGTTATTCGAACGAGAGGGGGGAAAAAATGACACCGCTCTATTTTCCAATATTATATCCTCTCTTCCCTTTTCTGCTTCTGAATTCATCCCTGTCCCTGCGCTCAGAGAAACATTTCAGCAGCTCAGTTTATGCCGATAAAGTAAAGTGCAGTCTCTCTAAGTGTTTCTCTCCAATTCTGTTAGTATAATTATGGCCAGTCTGCGTTTTATTTTCCAAGTCTACTCGAGTACCTCTGTTCTTTTTCACATAGCATGAGCGAATCATCTTCTCTAGTGACCTTGGTGTATATATTTACTGCAATATTGCAGATACACCACAGTGAGTCAGTGGAAATATACCGTACCCTCAGATTTTGCCTGCTTGTGTGACATCTTGAAGGTCAATGTTTTTAGTCGTTGCTATAAAATTTACAATTCTACTAGGAGTTAAGAATGAGTCATATGTATTCCCATATGTTTAGTTGGTCAGAACACACACACTTAAAGTCCAGGCTGAGTGTAGGGCCATTCCTGTGAAGGACATTTTCAGTGCTTGAAAAATTAATGTCTATGGATTTGTGGTGTTGAATTATTAAATCGACAGGCTGAAAATTACCTGAAACAGATGGGCTCTAACTAGGAGACAAGAATGCTGATATACAGCACACACAGATCTCACACATTCAGTCCCGAACATATGTCAGGTTTGCGCTTCCTGCGGCTCGTACTTGTGCATAAAGTATGCTGTCTCCAAGCGAAAGTGATCAATCAGGACTGTTACGCTGATGCTTGACTTTCCCTGTCTCGTAGATGGCTGGCCTATCTGCTGCTGCTGATCCTGGATCTGGTCATCTGCTTGGCCTTGTGCCTTGGGATGGCCAAGCAGTCTCGATGGCTGCTCATCACGTATGTATCGTGTGTGTGTGTGTGTGTGTGTGTGTGTGTGTGTGTGTGTGTGTGTGTGTGTGTGTGTGTGTGTGTGTGTGTGTGGAGGTGTTTGCTTTTCACTTTGTTTCTGAGGCCATTTTTTTTTCTTCTGTTCTCACTGGTCTCAGCTTGCATCACAGACTGCAGACAGACAGAGCACCAGTCAGCCTCTCTGGCACCATATAGGTCACTCCATTAACAGCACCAGTGATAGCATTACTTCTTCAAATAACACTGACTGTCTTTTTTTCCCGTCCTCAGTGACTTGCCTTATGTTTCGTCCACATACAGTTCAAAATAACCTTGTAGCAGCAGGCGTAGATTTACTCTCAATCAAACCAAATGATCAGTTCGCAAAATTCATAGATGCTCCGTCTAGATCAAAACCACTTTAGCTTGTCCTCTAAACGAGACAAAAGAAGCAGTTCCAAACCTCTCAAACATACAGAAAGAGTTGGAGGTGGGATGTTTGATTTAGCAAATCGCAACCAGTAATTTAAACCAACACTGATGTCTGACAAGCTAAATCCACAGTCCAGACAACCTATCCCATTTGCCCAATTTAGTTCAGCCTACGTGTCAGTGTTAGCAGATGATGCTCAAGATCTCTCTTCCCATCCTCCTCTGATGGGTCTCACTAATGCCTATTGATCACCCAAGCAGGATGAGTCTGCTCCCTTAACTAATTATTAAGTGCTCTCAGGCTGCTTTATCAGTGCTTTCAAGAAGGTCCAAGGAGTGAGTTGAGGAGCAAAGCCATCCGCAGCCTTTTTACATCCATCAGGGGGCCAGTTCTTTTGTCTTTTTACTCGGTTTATCTCCCTCTCTCTATCACACCACTTTCTCCAGCTTCTGCCAGTGGTCACTAAGAAATTGCGGTTAATAGTGGGGAGATTTTCTTTTTTTTTCATGAACCACCTCTGCAGTGTTATGACCCCGTTGAACTCATCACTCTTGTCAGACAAAAGGGGACAGAGAAAACAAGAGGTCGACAAACCGAAGCATGTGGCAGCGTTTGATTGACGGCGACTCTGTGCAGGGATTGACAGCTAATACATCCATGACTGACAGAAAGTGCGGCCAATTAAAATGTTGCTGGTGAGATCCAGCAGAGCAGCAACGACAAGAGACAAGAGTTGGAAAATCCCAAGACTGCCAGTAGTATTATCTCGAGTTGTGGCCTTGTGAGACCTCTGTTGAACAATTCTTTTGCTTCAGTCAAACTTGTTTCTGCGTAGAATAGATCTTTTTTTATAAGATGAAATCTAACAAGTGAATTCGGCAAGGAGTCATGAGTTACTTTATTTTCATATCACTCCATAATAAATTGAATTTCAGCTGTATCATCTATTCTACGATGCACCAGTAAAAAGTCTGAGTTGGACCTCTGTCTTCAGGCAGAAGGAGAATAATTCCTTGAAAAGAATAAATCTAATGAACTGGGTGGAAAAAAAAAAAAAGTGGCCGAAGATCACTAATACAAAGACAAACCGATTCATCTACTTCTTCCCATGTGTCTTTGTCTTTGTCTGTATCTCCCTGTCACCCGCTCTTGCTGTTTTCCTCCAGGATCATGGCTTTTGTAATGCTGTCTCTGATCCTGAGCTGGGCCTCGCTGGGAGCGGGCACTGCTACAGCTGTGGTAAGAAAACAATATCTTTTTAAATATCTTCTTAAAAATTCTTTAACATCTTGTCACGCTTGCTTCATTTTAATTTTTTTAATTTATTTATTTCTGATCTGACCATCGGATACGCAGAGCTGGGGCCTGTTCAACAAAGCAAGATTAGTGGGTTGTCTGGCTATCTTTGGACTGAACTCAAGTTTTTTGGTATGACAAAACTGGTTCACTTTTAACTGGGGTAGGTCACCATGGTAACCTCTGCTGCACGGCTTACTTCAGAGGATCAGATCAACACCTGTTAACCGCCTGACTACTGACCAGTCAAGATCACTGGTCAAACTGGGTCATCATTCCTACAGGATCCCCATATGGACAAAAGAGTTTACAATACAGAGCAACACATATTTTTACAGATCAGTTTTGCTGTTCCAGGTTTTCCATGTGTCCACTCTGGTTTTAATCCAGAGCTTCTAACAAGCAGCGGGAGGGTCTACCAAAGTAAAGAGCTACGTAATGGCGGTTATTGCTGCATTTTAATTGCACGAAGATTCTTCCATTCTCAGCAGGATTCCTGCTTTTAAACTATTTTTCCATCGCTGCAGCTCAGAATAACAAGATAAGAGATGATATGGTCATGATAATTGCAAATAAAAACTCTGCTCTCTGTCGTCTTGTATAAGAAAAGAAAGAAATCCACACACTGTTAAATATTTCCCATGATTCTAAATGCAACATTTCTGTCAGATACAACTTAACTCCTCTTCCCCTCTCTCCTCCCCATTCTGCTTTTGCAAAACCATTCATTTTAACTTTATTTATGTGCATTACATATTTGTCATAGTCATCAGACAAACACATATATGATAATTACCACTCTTATATATAGCCTGAGCCTTATTTGGAAATAATGTGTTTCTGCAGCTTCTCATTCCATTTTAAGTTTTAAGTTTATATTCTTTGTATTTCACCTTGTTGAATATCACTTTCTGCTAGCGCTACAACCGAATCTTCCCACATGTATCATCGTTTCATCTCATACTATATTAAGTGCTTCATTCATGGTTCTGACGACTCCTCCTCTTTCACATGAGCACACTCACGGCTGGATAGATAAGCCCACAGTTAACGGAGCCAGCTGATAACCAGCTTCAGGTTATCCAGGAGGACCAGTGTTAGGTTCAGTGAAGCTGAAATGAACTCACTTTGTGATACAGGCCCCAGAAGAACCCTTAGACATCTTGTTGGACAATGGTGGTTCTTGTATTTAGCTTCCTACCTCGTGCAATTACTCCCAAGGGTATTACTGTCAAGAACCATATGTTCTTGGACATCTCTCCTGTTTATAAAGTGTTTGTTTAGTTTACAGCAGGCGCTTCTCTATGGTCGGTCATGCAGTAAAGCTGATTACAAGTCCCCAGACTTTTACGTTAATCAACCTTTAGCCCCAACATTGTAAACTAAGCTGTTTCTAGTATTAATTACCAGCTCTGCTTGCATCAGAATCTCCTCTTTTGTCGTGTTTAGGTTTATTTTTCTCTCAGTCCTCATTCTTTCTGACAGATTGTTCTCTCTTCCTCTCTGTACACCATGTGTTCAGCACATCTGGGCTCAGTGTGTTTAATGGAGCTCGTATTAGGGACGCTGTCTGGGGTACAAAGAGTAACCCCTTGCTTCCAGCCTTCCGTCATCCTGTCTCCTCTCCTCGATCTTCTCGCCTCCTGTAGAGCGACCTGGCATCTGTGGGATTATCCCACAGGATTTGGCATCTGGACAGCTGTTTTAAGTGAGGCAGGGAGAAGACAATGAAGACAGAATGAGCTGTTTTGAACCTGGATTTAACGACACGGGTGTGAAATGCAGACATCTGCTGTGGTTCATGATGAGCTTCAGTTGTAAAGCTAGAATACCAATGTCTTGGACTGCGCCCATGGCTTAGCTCAGCTCATTATCGTAGAACATGACCCTGCATTAAAACCCTCCGACCTCTCTGTCCATCTTATCCAGAATAGTTGAGTAAAGCTTGTCTTTAGCATCCATCTTTATGTCACTGTCAGACTGTTACATCACAGGTGAGCTGAGGTAAATATTCTCAGCACCTGTACCTGCCTAGTTACTAATAGATAGTTCTAGTCCCCTGCACAGAAGTGGTTTATCAAAGAGCACAGTCTTCAGTAATAGAATTTGAATGTGGGACAGTGTAAAAAACAAGCAAGTAAACTTGTTGCACCTGTACGTCATTACTCAGAAACCGCATGGTGCAAAAGAAAAAATAAAATAAAAAAAAATGGTGCATCTTGAAAGGAAGGCAGATAGATGATGGTGCTGTCCTAGAAAATGCTCATAAATGTATGCATATTTGATGAGACGCAGCATAAACAAAATGTCCCCGCTAGTATAATGAGATAGAGATGAAGGGTAACATCTAGCAGCACTGCTGACGTGCTGCTACACAGTTTTTTTTTTTCTTTTTTTTTTTTTTTCTTTTGCTGAAAACAAATGCGATTGCGGTCGAGTTCAGAGGAGTGTTGATAATCTGAAAGTAAGTTGGGAGAAGTGGAAGTCTTTGGTTGGGTTGGGTAGGCCTGTTTTGTGTCTTGTGCTTGCCTCCTAGTCGTAATCCCATTTTTATTTTTTGTTTCATCCTGGAGCGCATCATTTATTTCTTTATTGATCACTGGTTTGTTAGAAGCAGGTTAGCTCGCTGGAAAATCCTTTGAGCCGAGCTTTACGGTGACAGGCTGCGGAAAGATACTTTTTGATACATGAAAAGCAGTGGACACAAGACTGTATTAGGAATAAATGGCATAAGGCTTTGATGTGTGATTCTGCAACACAACAGACTTCTTGATCCCTTTGAACTTAATCAATTTGAACAGTAGCCTGTTATTTTCACCAAGTATGAATTATGCATGTGCGTAAGAAATTTCTCAGTTTACTTTTGTTATTTGCCATTTTCCTTTTTCTTTTCTTTTTTTTTTTAAATTGCCATCTTTTTATGTTGTGGGGAAGTCTGAGTGCACAGAGGCTGTGTGATCTTGACCACTAATTGTTTATGCATGCACATTAACAGCTCTCCATGGATGAATTAAAGAGCATGAAAATATTTAGTCGATTTCATCCATGGTCAGCAAAGCACGACATTTTCTACATGGTCATTAAAGCCTGAGGTTTATTGCTACATACCACACATTTTTCTATGTGTGCTTGTTCAATGCATGTGTGTGTAGCTATATTGGGAGGAGTGTGTGTTATGTGTGCATGCAGCTGTACTGCACATGTCTGTGTGGGCATTTGTGTGAATACTTTTTATTTCAGAGGCTCAGTCTCTCCAGGGTTTGAATAAAGGGTGATAAAAACATTGTAAAGCAAATAGCTTGTGTTGCTAAGCGATTGTCAATAACTGCCCAGTGTAAAATCAGTTCTACTCAGATGCAGCACAAGAAATTGGATCTGGTCCATGGCTTGAATAAATGCTGCACTCCTTTTGGTCTTACATACTTTGCAAGATTACAGCATGTTGTTGTTTTTGTTGTTTTCCTACAGGGCACCAGTGACTTCTGTGTGTCTCCAGACAAGTTTATTGTTAACCAAACCAAGGATTTCCTCAGTGCAGGTAAGTCATGTCTACAAACTGAATTGCATAAATACCTGCTCTCTTACTGAATCTTAAGACACATTGCTAATCTCCCTCACTGTCTCACTCTCTTCCTGTTTCTCTCACCCTGCAGATGTTGCACACTACTATTTGTTCTGCAGCCCGAATCTACCGAACCCCTTCCAACAGGTATTGACTAAACATCTCAGCTGTCTGCTTGTACGTGTAGTGATTTACTGAGACCCGCACTCTGGAAAATGTATTGGTATTTTAAAACTAGTTTTTCCTTATTAGTTGCCAGGCAGCTAGCTCATTATCAGGCCTAAAGAGGCTGTTCTGAAAAAGGAGCCCCCAACACTAATTATTCCTTCTTTTTATACTGTATGTGGGCCTCCAAAAATCAGCCATATCTTTTACATTAGCGCATAATCTCTGCCTTGGGGTACTGTGACAAGCAATTTTTTTTTGTTATTTATTCAATTTACTTTATTAAATGCATGAAGGCAGCCACTGTATATAGACAACTCAAGTTAAGTTGATATATACAGTATTTCTGATTTTAAACTCACTTTCCTCTCACTTCTTGAATATGTCTTTTCAAAGAACCATTTACACACTTCACATGTTCCAAAGAGGTAAATTATTGGTGCTTAAAATGCAAGGGCATTTAAATTGGCCTCGAAAAATAACTATGGAAATGGCACAGCTGTCACACAAAAACTGTACAGTGTGAGCATCACAAACCTGGAATTTAATTTAGAGCTGCTACTCAAAACCCCCTTTTATTTCCAGGGCCTAGCCGAGTTAGACGTTTAACCTTGTAAAATAAGCACAAAAGTCGTCTGTCATTATGTTTCCTAATTAGAATTAGTTTACATTTGGATGTCTGTTGCAAATTAATTATTAAGGTCTTCTACTGTATGAGACTCCATATACCAGATGATAATTTGGATGTTGAGTATAGTAATCAAATTCATGAACAAGACAATGAAGTCATTTGCCATGATCCCTATCATGAACCCTCTGAACCCAGTGTGAAGTGTAAACTTGATGCCCATTTACAGATTCACTTTCCCACAAACACACTTGTAGGGCATCATTAGGGAGAATTTAAGACAATGTGACCCCCACTATTTCTCATGTATTAAATGTGTTTAATGGGAGGTTTTTACATGGGCAGTACTTTATCTGTGTGGCATGCACTGAGCAAATTCATGGAGGCTAAATCCATGACCAATAATTATTAAAACCCACATGCTTAGTTATCGTTGCAGTATCCATTTAAGGATTAAAATAATGCTTGTTAAGTAGGTAAGGATAATCTCTTCTCTGATGGCCTAGTTGATATAAATATAGCTCTTTTGTTTGTGCTTGAGATTGGGTGGCAGGAATGGGAGGAGGGACAGTGATTGGTGGGCGAGAGGGTTGGTGGCGAAGGATAATCTGGGCCTATCTGTCTGGAGAAAAAAAAAAAAAGTGTCCAATCTGTTAAGCGCATTATAAAGCCTTACTTAACACCAAATTACTTGTTGACATGCTGTTCCCAAACAATGTTTCCCTTAATATGATCCTCTCATTGTTTGTGGTTGGATGTCTGTGTGTGTGATGTTGATGGGTGATTACGTTTTCACAGTCTCTGACAATCTGCCAGCGTTCTGTGACCACCATGCAGATCCAGATCCAGGGTTTGCTGCAGTTCTCGGTGCCCGTCTTCCCCACTGCTGAGGTAAGTGGCTAACTGACAGACTGTTGCACCAGACTGTGGAGAGGTGTGTATCATTCTTTCCCCTTTTATACCTTGTTATACAGAGAGACCTTTTGGGGATCCAACGATTGTTGAACTCCACTGAGTTCAGTCTGCACCAGCTAACAGCCTTGCTTGACTGCCGTGGGCTACATAAGGTAAGGTCAGATTCCAACCAGGGTGCTTTTTAATAAGGCTGCTTTGTAGCACAGCTCAAAGCCACTTAGAGAAGCAGCTTGACTGATTTTCAACCTTATCGCTATGTTCTTCTCATACGCTCACATGTTTATATACTGCAATTGTCAGTACACTCTGTAACTGCTAGACAGGCTCTACTCACCGACCCCAGTTTTTCTGACTTTAAAGTCAAACTTTAGTTTTGCAGGTTTCAGATTTTCAGAGTTTTATCTGGTGAAGGGAATAAGAGATCTCAGCGGTGAAATGAGTCTTGAGCCGTTTTTCACATATGAGCTTTCACACATGAAGCATGCAACAGCGGGTTGTCCATGTCAGACACCCCTCACCTAAACCACATAGTTCCGTTTAGATGAGGGCTGGCACCTGGGTAGAGCGTGTCGGAGGTATGATAGAACAATGCTCCAATTCTCTGGACAGTGACCGGCTCTATACACGCACATCAGCTCAATCAGACATTTTACAGACTTTGCACCAGATGAGCTGGCAGAGTAAAGTCCGTTTAACTGATTCAGACATTTGCGTCCACACGGTTCTCACATACAACTCCTGTGGGTAATGTCTGGATAGGTTCAGGGTTGCAGGGTGTGTGTTTGTGTGTGTGAAAGCAACATCAGATGTAGACTTTTAGATCAATATAGCATAGACAATTTTAATAGTCTATACTGCATGAGAAAAAGGTCAGGTGGAAGGTGGGGATGGTGTTTGACTTGTGTGTCACATGAGGCCCAGATAGGAGGGTCTATTCAAGATGTCAGCTGGGTGATGGTTCAGTTAGGGGTAAGGTTACCATGCATGCCAGAAACATAAACCATTTACATTATGTAGTGTAAGTATGTTATGTGAGTGTAAGTTAAATGAATACACCCCAAATGATAATGATTACAACACAAATGTGAAAATGTCACAGTCAAGACGGCTGTCATTACTCAAGCAAGCATGTAAAAAGCAAACACAAACAAACAATGCATTTGTAACATGCATGTCATCAGAGTAACATGAGGGTCTCGGTGTGTATAAAGTGTGTGTAAAAGTCTGAGTTTGCATTTAAAATTGTTATCTGACATTGTTCACGGTCCTGATATAGACTTAATCTACCCTTTTCAACTCTCTGTTTCCAGACAGGTTTAGGGTTATGTAAGCCTCCAGGGAACTGATGAAAGTCAATCATGTATCCCGTGTCATATTTGTCTGTAAACCTCACCAGTCATATACTTCAGTTTCAGGATTTCATTTCTGTGGGTTTAGAAGAATAGATATACACACACAATACATTGATGTTTTTACCTGAAAGTAGAACCGTGAAAGGTAATATTCTCACTGGATGCTGACAATAACTGACTGTACTATATATATATTGTGTCTCTCTGTCTAGGACTACCTGGATGCCCTAATGGGTGTGTGCTATGATGGGGTGGAAGGGCTCCTGTACCTCTCTTTGTTTTCTCTGCTGGCTGCCTGTGCTCTCTCTGCCATGCTGTGTGCGATTTTCCGAGTATGGACACTAATGGGCAGCAGGTCAGCACTGAGCGACCCCCTTATCCCATTACGCACTGCCATCAGTGCACTCCTGCAAAATGTTAACGCATGCACTCTCTCTGTTTCCTACTTTGTCTGTGTTTCGCGCGGGTGCAACACTTTCATCCAGGGACAAAGAGTATGATGACATAGACGAGGAGGACCCGTTCAACCCTCAAGCACGGAGGATATCCTACAACCCGAGAAGGTCCAACATCCACAGTTTCTGTAGCTATACCAGCAGCCTTGGCAGTCAGGCCAGCCTTCATCCACCTCCACAATCTGCTTCTAATGCCATGCCAGCCCCTGAATACATGTAAGATAAATAAATGATGACATTGTTTTTTTGTATTTGTGTGTTTCATCTCTTACCACCTTTCTTTCCCTCTCTGTCACAGGAATCAGTCCATGCTGTTTGGAGGGAGCCCTCGATATGAGAACGTGCCACTGATAGGGAGAGGATCCCCGCCTCCCTCGGTGCGTTGGCCCTATGAGGCTCTAGTGTCCCTAGTGTGATGACGATGATGGCACTGCTGACCTCAACACCACTGCTACACTAACAGAAAGCATGCACAGCAGCACCATGAACATAACAATGCATTTCCAATGTACACAGAGGGGAGTTATGGTGCTTTGCAAGTGATGGAAGAGTGCTCTCTGCTGGCCATTGTCTGAAGTGCAGTCATTTTTAGCCCAGTGCCATTTCTGTATGCAAGCAATACACTCTTACTACTAAGCCCTAAGCATATGCACATATCCTTTTCTCCATTGACTTGGTTACAAAGTAATGATTGAAACTAATGCACACGTTTACATACGTTTAAGATAAGTGCGGTTCAGGGTTGAATAAAGACAGAGCTGCCGCCTGCTCATCCTCGCATCAGGTGTCTGGTTTTTTTTGTTGTTTTTTTTTGTTTTTTTGCAGAGCTCATAGTCTGTAAGCGTGTGGTGTGTCTCCTGAGCTGAAGCTAAGTAATAGATAACACTGGTAAATCCACTGTTAAAGTTTCTTTAAAGTTAAGTTTCTCTTCCATTAAGTTTTCTGTTTGCATGGCTGACTCAGTGAACTGAACTGCATTCACAGCATACCAAAGACTTGAAACACATTTTGAGAGGGAAGAAAGAGGGAGTGTGGACCATTGTTTAAAGTTTTTACATTGCTTCTGTGAGACACATTTGTAACAAGCATGTGTTTGCAGTATGAGTCTACAGAGAGAAATATGTGCAGTTTTTTTTTCTTTTTTCTTTTTTTTTCTTTTGTGTGAATCAGCTCTGCAATGCAGTTTAGTCCTGGCTTTATATAAGCAGTTTCTCAATAAGGTATCTAACTGCAGAATATTAACCAATGTTTTATAACTAACCATTTTTTACTTTCATCCTTTGACTCAGACCTTTAAAAACCGTAAGTTTTCCGTTGTCTAACTTCTTCCTGGTGTCTTTGATTTCATTTTCATTTCACTCCTTCGAACACACTGTGTGGGCTTATCTCTGTAATGATGCTTGCTATGCAGAATGTTCAACCTATAACCCCCAAACCCCCTCTTAAAGCTCCATACAGTACCTCAGCTGTGTGACCTTTGACTTTTGTCACTGTTTTATCCACAGACTGTTAAGTCTGAGTGGAACATATCCTGTGACTTCCCCCCCTGACTTGTGCCCTCTGTCTGCTCTTCATCTGCTCTTAAACTCCCAGCGATACTAAAGTGCCGTCCCCCAATTCCACAACCTCCTCATCAAAGAACAGCTCATAATCAGCACAAGTGCTCCCCAGACTTAGATTAGATCACATCATTTTAATGTGTAACTTGATGATATCTCATGATGCTGTTAAATGCAAATGTGCTAAAGTGTGTTTTTTCAATCATTTCCCTTGCAGTATTCGCCCAGTATGAGGACCACCTATCTATCTATGACTGATGCCCAGATCAGACACTTTGGGACTGACTTCCAGGTGTAGCCTGCTACCCACTGAATCCTTTTTCAGAGAAGCACTGTATGAGACTCTGGGTTCTTACCAAAGAGGCTGTCTTCATGGCATAATCCTGTTTACGGGAGCTGCAGCCCACCGTCCCAATCTGAGACATGAAAGCAGGCCAAATGAGGCAATGACCTCAGTAACACACCATTGCAGTGCTCTGAAAGCACCGCATGCAGTTTTGAACAAAGACGGCCTGTACAGGTTCATCTCAAGACTGTTATTGTTGTGATGTGTGGAAATACTGTTGCTCAAATGTAAGCATTTCTGTGAGCCAAATTAAGAGCATTTGAGCTGAATGGATTAAAAAAAATGTTTTTTGCTTTTCATATTTTCTGGTGGCCTGCATGGATATGATCATCAGCATGGTCAGTATTTTGATGTGAAGTGAGATGGTGGAGTATGACTAATGCTCAGACAATCAACGCTGTTTGTCACTGTTTTCTTTCCCTGCTTCTAGATGTGTAACTGCCACTTTTAAGCATCTCTTGGTTCTTGTTGTAACACTGGATTGCAATGTATGATCTGTTTATCAAGGATGAGTCAAATAGCCATAGATGAGAGGGTTTATTGTTTTGCTCAATTTGGAGACTGTACTGCAGCTGCATGTGGGGAAATTCCCTTGGACTAAATAAGAACAACAGAATGTGATTCGATTCACATGCAGGCATTTATAACTGTGTTGTGAGACAATGACAGCAAACAAGACAAAACTTTCAGTATGTCTATGTGCTGTGTTATAATCATATAAGATTGAAGTTTGCTCTCAAATCCCTCTACCCTCAATATCTTGTGAATGAGAAACTGTTATTTACATTGATACATTTTGTTTTGTATGTTGGATGACATATCAAACTAAAATGATGTTTGACCATAAAATGCTATATGCAGACCTGTTTGTTGTTTTGTCATTCTTCTCTACTGTAACAGCTTAATGGTCATTAACTGATTGGTTATTCTTTTGCTCTCATTCTGCTGGCCTAGAATGACCAATAATACTGTGACTGAGGTAGCTAGGATTTTGAGTGTCCTTTACTTGACGATCTCATATGGGGCAATTATCCTCCTCCAATACCATGAATCTAAAATGTACAGGCAGAAAATGTGTTTCTGCTACAGGGTTACAGGTGTTAGCTATGACAGGACACAGGCTGTACAATGCCTTAAATAGTTCCCATATAGTGAGATGTAATACCAGGATGAACTGTTTAATTGGGGTGAAAGTATTAAAATGCTTTCAGTTCTGACAAAGACCAGCATTACTGATGGGTGTTCTCCATAGCACCTGTCACCATGCTCCTGGAGCATGCTCCTGTCCTACAGTACATCTGTACATCACAACAGCAAGGTGACAAGTTAAACCTGTGGAGGTCAGCAAAGACCTCCACAGGTTTTCAGTCAGTGTTAAGTAACTTTTTAAAGCGGCTATTATTGATATTTTAATAAAAATCTGTGAAAATTAGAAGAATTTAATGAGTAAATAAGAAGTAAAAATTACTTTACAATAGTAATAATAATAAATACATAGTAAGTGAATAAAAAAAATCTACAAATGAATGTGGAAGCAATGTGAAATTGTGAAAGGGTTCGCCTGTAGTGATGAACTGACTGAGAATTTTCACCATATCAGCTTATATCAATTTATAATGTGAAGTTCTGCTGCCCCCAAGAGGATCTATCTATCTATCTATCTATCTATCTATCTATCTATCTATCTATCTATCTATCTATCTATCTAACATTGTTAGTTAATCTGATTGGAGACTCCTCAAAACAAAATTATAATAAACTTCAAAAAGTTTTATCAAAAAGATTTAGCTCGAAGTGTCATGGTCGCTGTCCAAGGTGCTGATCCTGGAAACCCCGGGGTGTCGAGAGCTGTCCAAGGTACTCAGCCCACCATTCGTACAAATGGACAGGATGCAATGTTTATGTCTGTTGTCTAAAATATCAGTCCTCTTTTTTTATTGTTCATGTTGTTTTTTTACGTATGTGCTGTTCTATCAGGCTGTAACTGTGTCATTTTACCATGGTACTATATAACTGCTATGTCAGGACACTGGCACTGGTTGACATTTAAGGAGCAAAGTCGTGAAGGTCCTGCTTCGCTTGCCGTAGAAAACACGGAAAAACTGTGGAGATGGTAGTCGTTAGTTAGCCTGCTAGCCATTTTAGGCTGTTTATTATCATGGCAAAATGTTCAGGAAAGAGTGATATTTCTTAAGCTGATGACGGAGGGTGTGGCGGGGATGTGGGTAAATAATGGGAAACGTTTTTGGGAGAAAGAGTCGACCCTCTCGTGTAACGGAACAAGACAAAGCCATTTTGGTGAGCTTGATAGCGGCGTTAGCCACAGATTAGTCCCGTTACATGAACACAAGGCTAGTGTTAGCTGAGGAACGTTAGCCGATGTGTTTGCGATTGGATTTTAATGTCATTCATAGCTAGACGGGGTTCCTTTGCTTGGACGAGCTAACAATATTCCCCAACATCTGTGTCTATGACAACTGTTGTGATGAAGCCTCAGGAAAATAGGAACCTCTGTAACGCGGTCAAAACACTATTAAAATAAACACAAGTTTTGTCAAACGTAATTGTCAATTGTTGTTTACGCATTACAGTGTTTGCATTAATTTGAGAAGTGTTACTATGGTAATGGACATCATAAGTAAGGTTGTATTGTGTCTATTTGTACATATACAAACCATGGACAGTGTCACTGTCAGTATGTATTTCTTCTGCATTTATATGGATGGTTCATAAAGGCTATATTGTTACTTTAGAAATGTCTCTGACTTTGTTTTTCACAGCAATTGAAGCAGCAGAGAGATAAACTGAAGCAGTACCAAAAGAGAATCACCTTACAACTGGAGAAAGAGCGACTTCTTGCAAAGCAGTTGCTAAAAGATGGCAGGAAAGAGTGAGTGTCAAAAAGCTACGGCCATTTAGTCAGTACACCCCTTTCTGTTAATATCTGAAACAGTATGAAATAAACATCTGTTGATCAACTTCATGATCAATGCGGAGGCCTCAACAATTGTCAGGTGTTCCTATTGTTTTGTCAGCCTTATTCAAATCAATGAAAGTAGGCAAACAATAGACACACCTCCTTGTACAATGCATTACAGTTCAAAAGCACCACAAACTGCAGCCTCCATAATGATCTCACAGCTAATCAACAGTTTTTCAACAAAAACTGAACATTATAACCCTCGTGTAAAGGGTTGTATTAGAATGCATTATTTTAAGATAGTTGAATATATATATATACATATATATATATGTATAGTGAAAAAAAGAAAACAAATTCACACATTATATTGACATCTTTGAAATCCGATGCAGGTGCAGTGGCAACATCTCTAATTGTATCTGTTTTATTCTATATGCACTGGTACACACTATATGACTACCATAGAAAAAAACATACTCTTTGCTATACTATGTTTTATCTTTTTATTTGTTATTGCAGAAAAGCACTGCTACTTCTAAAGAAAAAACGATATCAGGATCAGCTGCTAGACAAGACTGAGAATCAGATTTCAAACCTAGAGCACATGGTAAGTTTTGTGAGACTACTCTGTGTGGTTCCCTCATGATATAAGGATCACTACCAAGGTGTACTGTTATATGATAATTCATTAACATTTAACAATTTAGCACCTGAAGAGGAGCAGCGGTTGTGCTCTCTCAATTCTCAAAATATTTTTCTTCTTGAATCAGTTTAATAAAAGGCAAACAACACTGTGCCACATGGCAATATCACATTTGTACTTGATGCATTAGTTTTAAAGAGAGAGGAAGGATTCACTGTGATGAATATTACAATAAAATATTTCTAAGGCCTCCGATTCATTTCACATCAGTGATTTGTGACCTCATCCTGTTTAGTGCTGTAATCACCCTTTATGCTGCTTGGTTACTATGCAATGCAACCAAGCACATTTTCAGCGAAATCCAACCTAAATCTGAGCTGTAAAAGAAAATATAGAGAATGATGGGTGTTGCTGTTTCAAAAAATCGATAGGACTTACTACTTCCAAATTCAGATTTTTAACATAATAAAACACTTGGTTGTTTTGTTTGTCGTGCATGTCTGTAATTTTGCAATAACATTTTTTTATATGCTAATATTTGTCAACAGGTTCAGGATATTGAGTTCATGCAAATTGAGATCAAAGTCATCGAAGGGCTTAAGGTCGGGAATGATTGTCTGAAGAGTATGCACGAGGTAGATATTCTTTTCCTATTTGTTTTCCTGCCTTTTGTGTTGAGAACTATGCTCTTCCTTTTACTGTAATAATAATAATAATAATAATAATACCCCCTTAAGCCTTAGATATGTGTGTGCATACCTTAATATTGTCAGAGTTTTCACTGATAAGCAGACTCTCTTTAATGCGATCCTTGGGTGAGGATTGAGCAGCGTGGAAAGCTTGCGGTTTGTGTTCGCAGAGCTGGTGCACATTGTTTGAAGATTAAAGGATTAAGATGATTACAGAGGTGTGACTGCTGCACATCCTCGGATACAGTATACAGATTTTGCTCGGGAAAATTCACAAGCCATCCAGAATATGTGGAAAACACACTTTTCATTCAAGTGACTTTTCTTATGTAATGTGGGCTGTCTTTTCTTGTTTGTGACAGATCATGTCAATAGAAGATGTGGAGAGAATCCTGGATGAGACCCAGGAATCAATTGAATATCAAAGGGTAAATGTTTGCTTGATGTTATTAAAAATAGATGTGCATAGAGCTGTTTCCACTTCTTTCTGCTATAAATTCATTAAACTGCATTATAACTAGTGGTCAAAATGTGATGATTTTTTTAAAATGAAATTTGAAGAAAGCTATTATTTGCTCATTGATTTCTTCATATTATGGTGTACATGTTTAGAGGACGCAGACACCTCCAACCTGAACTTTCCAAGAGATCCAAAAACTCATGTTTGTCCACAGAAAAATATCCATGCCTTTCGGAAACAAATTGGAGCTGTCAGTGTGCTGTCAGCTTACACATTCTTTTGGTCCTGCAGCAAATAGATGAAATGCTGGCTGGCGCCCTGACGCAGGAGGACGAGGATGCTGTTTTAGCAGAGCTGGAAGCTATCACTCAGGTGGGTGTTAAGCGGCATGTTCAACCTTTATTAATAAAGATAATGTTTGCTGGGCACACATGCTTGTTTTTTTTTTTTTCTGTAAAACACTGTAAACACTTCACATTAACAGTTACACACCCTCAGGCCTGGTGTAACCACAGGCTTCAGCAGTTGGGACATTAAGCTCTTCCACTGGTGCGGTTAAAGCTGTGATTGAGAGTTGAGTCAATAGGGGATTTTGTAGCAAAACTGCATGTTGTTACTCTGACCTCAGATTTGTATAATATGTGTCTCCTGAGGAGGCGGAATAATTTTAGCAGAGTTGGAAGAATTTTGAAGTAAACCACTTCCTCAGTATCATTTTAATGTAATAACAGGCTGTAACTGAAACAGCTGTGAATATGATTTTGGTTGATTCATAATAATTAAAACTTCAGTAGATTTTTCTTCTTTTGTAATCTAATTATTATTCCACAAACTTTTTGACACAAACTACACAAATTACTATGTTTCACCCTTGAACATAGACACTGATTCTGGGCTTGATCCAGTTATTCAAATAAAACACACAAGTTGTATGGCAATGGACATAATTTAGTATGTATTTATATATTTGTATTTGTAGTGTGATAAAATATCAGAACAAGACATCAATCTAGTGACTGTGATTTGCAATTTAATTTTTAATTTTTTAAAATGTATTCAGTATGTGCAATTTTTATTGTCTATCCATCAATCCAGACAATCTGAAAATGAAGGCAAAGAGCAACATTATTCGCTTCAAACAGTTTATCTACAAATGTTTTGAATGCACCATCAAATAAATCTTGTTTCATTAACTTATACTTACAGAACAATAGAAATTCTATAATGTTTCCCTCGTATTCTTTTGGATGCATGTTATACAGATTGTGAAGCTCTTTTAGGCAGATTTGTGATTTATAAATACAACTAAAATTGACTTGACAGGTATTGCCTCATAAAATTTTAGAGATCTTAAAACGATTATATTTTAGTTTTAGAACTGAATATTTTGTGCCTTTCTCATTACCTTGCAAAACCTTTACTGTGTCTGTCCCCAGGGAGAAGATGTAACACTTCCAGAAGTCCCCACTGAGCCAATACCAGAAGTCCCAGAGGCAGCTAAAGCCGAACCAGGTGCAGTTGATCTTTTTTTGTTCACACCATAAAGCATTCCCTACACAGTTGATATATTTGTAACTGATGCCAGACTGATTATATTTGCTTTACTTTGTTTTCTAGAGAAGAGAGAAGCAAAGAACAAGCCAGAAAGAGAGATGCTGGCAGCCTAACAGACTCAATTAGTGGTTGATATCCAGTGTTGAACACCAAGCTGTCCAGACTGTCTTTGTTCTGATGGGCATTCTGTTAATTTCAGTATTTTATCTTAAACTCGTAGTAGCTGAGGGTGGGACCTGCAGACATCCGTGCACCTTTACACGTTTGACAGAAGCAGCACTCTGTCTGTACTTCACTGGTTCACTGCTCCCCTGAAGTACTTGCATAAAGGAAGTGTAATGCTTTGTTCCTCCGTGTCTGACTTAGCAAAGCAATGTCACATTGTAACTGTGCTGGTTAGGACATAACTGAATGATAGGACTAATTTTTAGATGTTTTACACATTAAATTCACTTGTTTTACATATTAAATTGAGCTGTGACAACAAAATGCTGTCTTGGCTTTTCTTTCTCATACTGCTTCTTTTTTTTTCTATTGTGTTAAAACATAAGGTTTCATTCCTCTATTATGACAGAATAGCAGTGTTTTGTGTAACCTACATTCTCCAGGAGGTGGCACTCCTCGCTAGTTTTCTGATTCAACACTGTGCAAAACAGGTGTCTTCCTTCACATCCCGTCACTGAAGTGTGTGTGGTTATTGACAGAAAGTAGAAAGCTCATGTTGCTGATATGTGGGAGATGTTTAGACAAGAAAGCCAATACAGTATTTACAATCCTACACTAAGTGGGCACTTAGACTCTAATTAGCATGTACAATGAAGCTAACATAAATTATCCACTGTGAGAAAAACATCACCTATGGTGTTACTGAAAACAGTCAGGGTATGACTGGCTTACAGCCTTACGTAATGCAAATCTATACATAAAAAAAAAATTTTGTAAATTGAAAGAAGAACAACTGCACTGAACATCATTTACAGGTTACTCAGCAGTGAGTGTGCAGAGGCTGTAATGGACAGGAAACAGATATAATGCATCACACTCGTCCTCCGGAACAGGTGGAAATGGGACTCTGTGAAGCAGGGTGCATACTCAAACTCTTCTGTTTTGTCTTTTTGGCTGAATTGGTTTCATTTAGAGCTTCCATTCTTTGTCCAAATGATGCACGAGAGGAAATAACAAAGAAAACTGGTTTCATCTTCTGTTTGAAGACAAAATGGCAGGGTGACTCCACCTATAGTTTATGACATTTGTGTATGCCTTATCCTATAGATTTATTGTTTCAGACGGATGCTGATTGTAGAGAGGACTTGTCTTTTTAAGTTAATCATAACAAACACTAGAAGTGTCAGTATAAATAGGCAAATATATATATATATTTTCCCCCCAGAGAAAGCAGAATATTTAAATAGGCTATTAAATGTTAATTGTAGAGACACACCCATTTACCTCTGTATGTTATAGGAATGGTGGAGCTGAAATGGTAGAAAAATATACACCTCGACACGATGGTGCTGCATCGTTAAGCTTTTGGAAATATTGCTTTTAGGATTTAAGTGCGCATGTGGTAAACAAATGCTGTGTGGTATTGTGAGATCTTGATTTTATTGCATGATATTGATTGTCGTGATAATGTTGCATTTGTAAAATTTTAGGCTTTATTTTATTATTATTATTATTATTATTATTATTATTATTATTATTATTATTATTATTTAATTTATTTAAATTTTAGTATTTTAGTGATTATTTAGTAATTAATCATTGTTCTGTAATTTCCCCTGTTTAGCCAGCCTGTTGCACTATGTGATTTATATAGTAAACCATATACATAAAATGTTTTTGGTTTTATTGTAGCCTATTTCTCACTGATTTTGACTGACTTGTGAAAAACTTCAACTGCGCGTCGGAGATAGCGAGAAATCGGAGCTCTCGGGGAGTCCGTGAAGGCAGCAGCGGTCTGTCGGCTTTGGAGAGGGAAGGTGTGTTTAGTTGGAGTGGGGTTTCGGGAGCGCAGCATCGTCTCCCTCTCTCGCGGGCGCAATACCTCGCCTACGGTTCGACCAACCTCGTGCAGCCAATTTACCCACATTTCCCCCTCTTTTACGCGGATACACGTTTCAAGGAAAAAAACGTTTATGGTCCTGGCTGAAGATTTCACGATGTCTCGCACCGACGAGGTTCACCGCTTGACGGAAAATGTCTATAAGGTAAGGTTCAACTAGTGACTAAAGTTTGGAGATGCATGTGATGGTATCGACTCAGGTGTTCGACACACAGTAGAAATCCACCATGAATCAGACTTTATTATATATTAATCAAGCCGCATTCAAGCCTCGTACTTTTTTTCTTCTTCCTCGATAATCTCTTTAGGGAGAGGCGCAGCTCAGTTGGTTTTTTTTTTTTTTTTTTTTGTTCAGTTGCCAATTGACCAAAATACTCCTGTCTTCCACCTCCACATACTTCTGCGCGACACCAGGCTTGATAATTAAGGCAACACCTGTGAGCAAAATGTCCCTTCCGTGCTTACAAAATCAAAGTCGTTCACTCATTCACTTCTTCTATTCCTACATGTAGGCCTGTATTCTGTTCCTATATTCCACCTACTGCATTGATTGGTGGTGTAGGCCTCTCCTGGAACACCAGTGGATTTCTATAGCCTGGTTTCCTTGCTGAAATGGGAACAGTGGAACATTGCATTCCAGAAGTCGGTGTTTGACGGACAGAGAAGGCTGGGCTTATCTGTTGCAACAAGTAAACATTTGCCTCATGGGGATTTCAACATTCAAACCTGTTCTTCACAAAAAAAATGTAAAAAAAAAAAAAAAAGCTTTGTGAACTTTGCATGCAATTGTTAGGACTCAAAAAGAGGGCTATTAAGGCTCCATCTTAAGTTTATTTTATATGAGGATTGATCTCTTGATCATTTTTCCCACTAATTATTAATATTATTAATTATTTGATCATTTTGGCCAGAAAATAGTTGAAAAATGCCCATCATCATTTACCAGTTCCCAAACATATGTCTTCAGGTTGCCTGTTATGTCCAAGCAGCAGTCCAAAATTGAAATGTATTTGATTTGCAATGACATAGAATGAAGAGGAGCAGCTGATGTGGGGATAATGTGGGGATTTGTCAAATGATTCAGGATCGACTTGATAATCAAAATGATTTATGATTGACTTTACATGAATCAGCTAACACATTAATCGACTACATCCTTTCTGGTGTTGATTCATTATCTTATCTGTGTTTCGTGGGTTGCAGGCAACTACTGATGGAACATCCACACCTGTGTCTGCATTGTGGTAATCTCGGGTTTCTGTTATGATTAGAGCTCAGTGTTTCTAGACATTATTTACACATAATCATCCTTAAATGTTGCTCTACTTTCAACTGCCCTTGTGCCCTAAGCCAGCAGTACTTCCTCTAACAGAGGACCAAGAGAGCAGAGGGGAGCTGCTCATTCTCCTACAGGGAATAGACATCCATCAGAAAGGAGGTCAGATGAGCAGAGACTGACTGACTGGAGCTTCTTATAGAGCCAACAAGGGAAGCGAATGTTTCAGGTGGCTATTTCTGTGCCAAATTGGTCACACAGCCTACAGTGTATCCCTGTCATTGTGAATTGTATGCTATGCTCTGTCGGGGTTTGTCCAAGTGTTTACACCTACTAATGTGGGTTAATCAACATGGACACATTGTAGGTGTCTGGATCATGAACCCTTAGGGGGGAGCAGGTCCTTCCGCCGATGGTTGTTGCTCAGTCGAGTGCAAGCCCCAGCAGTAGGGGAGCTCTGTCACCCCGTCAGAGCCCTGACAGCCAGAAACGCTGATGGGCAGTGGAGTGGAGACACAGAGTCCCTCTTCCACACCGGGGATCTGACCCAGTGGCAAAAGCTAGGAGGTCAGAGAGAGTGTTAGCTATAGTCACTGCTTATTTGGCACTCCCCATGCTTTCTTCACCAACCCTGCAGTGTCAAAGCAAGTTCCTTGGTGTGCTTTAATATTTAAAGACATGGATTCAATTTGACTCCCATCATATTTCAACGATGAAAAGCGTCAATCTTTCACAGTATACTGCATGCTCTCCATTTTCCTTTTTTTTTTTCCCCAAATGATGACATTTTACTGTAGGGATAGGGGGTAATCACCATGTTTGGTCAGTGAAATCTGTTTACATTAGCTTGAATGGCGAATGACATATTGTCTGAGCCTGAAGTGCAGACTGTCACCTTTAATTTCATGGGTTTGTCAGCCATACTGAGGGAACGGTGAAGCCGCAGGGCTTGTTGCATAAGTATTAAAATTAGATTGATGCAAAATTTATCCAAAATCTAAACATAAGCAGAAAATTGAACTTGGTTTACCCCATCATTATACTGGCACAGACAGTGGGGCAGGATGCCTGGATATTTCTCACTATACTCAACACTGACTCTTGCTATGTTTACGTTGTTGTACCTTTCACATTCTGCAGCTTTTTACCTTTTTGATGCAGTTGTTAAAAGTTTTCACCTCCGAGTGTTGGAAAGACTCCACCGGCCAGTTCTACTTGATACACATGATTTTGAATGCCTCCATACACAGTATTTGTGTTTGACTGCTTTGTATTCAAGCAGGTATACCCTGAGGAATAGAAGATGTAAAAACATACGGCGGCTGCAAAGTCATTGCAGCCAGCAGCTGGGCAGATACTGAGTAATCGCAGGGGAGAAGAGGGGGGTAACTCCACTGCTGTGACTCATGCTAGCCCAGTTGAGTGTGTGTATTTAACAGGGCTGGGACTGTAGGCACAGCGAGGGCGAGACTCAGCCACTGCGAGCGCTTTTCCTTTGGTGAAGGCCAAAGGCACTCCTTAGGTTTCCTTTTTTTGTTGAGATGACTTTATCTTAATCAACAGGGGAGTCAACCCTGTAAACCCAGCAATCCCAACGTTGATCCTCTGTGACTCACTTCAGTTCTCCTCCTTCACATAGACAGGCAGCTCCAGACATGGCGATTGGCATCTAGTCATTCCCCCAGCTGACGGGGTGAGACAGATACTTAAGACTGACACTCGGTGCTTGCGTGTCTGTGTGTGCACCACAGTCATCTCCACCAGCTGGCTGTGTCGCTGGCAGTCTGAGAGGAGCGGTGCCCTGGGTCAAGCCTCTTAGCATGCCAGTGGGTTACGTCTGAGCGCCGACCTGGCTTCGAGGAGGGGGGGGGGTTGAAGTGAACACAGCCTAATCAGACTGGAGGCTGAAGAAGAGTAGGGCTGTTTGTCAGGTCAGTCATTGACAAAACCTGTCAGTGGCAACCATGAGATAAACTTTTAAAAAGCGGTAAATGAAAGAAATATTAACGTTTTCCTGGAGCTCAATTTAAATCTGACTTGTATTCGTCATAGGAAGTGTGGCGTGTTCTGTGCCTGATACAGTCAGTGCAGGTTTTGAACACACCCTTGCAGGTAAAGGAATAAAAGGGTGTGTCGTCTCTACCAGCCCTCAGGACAACACTCATTTTCCCATGCAGCACCACTCCCTAATTGTCAACAGAGGTTGGAAAACACTGGATGCCATTTTCTCAAATGGCTGTTTATGAAGAAGACAAAAAGAAAAAGAAAAAAAAGTTGTTTGACGTTAACTGGATCAAGTCTGATGCTCTACACTCTACGGTTATAAGACCTTCATTGTGTCATGAGTCTGATCCTGCTGCATTGCGCCGTTTGATTAAAAACCCTGATCTGAAATGCAGGTTTTTCTGCCTAAAAGACATCTTGTTATATAATGGGTTTCTCTCTCAGTTGCAATATTGTCGTGACATTCGCGGCACTCAAATGAATGATATTCTGATGATGATAAGAGGACCACAGTTTCAACACAAGCTCATGTGGGAGATCTGAACAGGTGGTCTCTTAGCAACAACGTGCCATTATTCTTATGTGTTTCTGTCATATCATTGTGCTAAAAGACTTGCAGTTGGTGGAGGGCTGTAGAAGGCAAGCGAGAGGGAGGAAAAAGCGATGGAGAGGGAGTTTTTTGCAAGTATCCATGTGTCTGTTTCAGAGAGAGATGTTGAACCTGGTGTAATTGATGAAAACTGCTCTATAAAAGCCCCATAAGTGGTCCAGTGTAAACCAGCCCAGTCTGCTGTATATACAATGCTGTGTCTTGCCCCTGTGGTCCTACATTAAGAAGTCGTCTAGAGTCACTTGAATGAAGACGCCATCCATCACTTTATTTACCTTTCTTTCCAGCAGTATATCACATCAGGCGCCACTTGGCTTATAATATGCGATTTAACAGAGTTTAAAATGACTTCAGCTCCTGAACATCTGCCTCCAGAATATAGTGTTTCAACAAGTTTATGCCTGCTGGTGCCCAGGGCCTTGAAAAGATTGCATTATGCACTGCGGGAGATATCATAACATTCATTGCCTGTGGAACGGCAGATTTGTTCCCTGTGCCTTTGACTGCGATGCAGAGAGAGGACTATTGCTCCACACACCCACCTTCTCTGCACGTCCGGGGGCGGATGGTTTAGAGACATTCGCTCTTTTCTTTTACTCATCACTGCTTTTTCAAGGGCAGAGACTGGAGATACTCAGTGCTAAATCCAAGGCTACACTCTGTTGACTGCAAAGAAGCTTCACAGCCATCGCTGACGGGGAAAAAAAAAAAAACGTTGATTTGAAGCCACCTTGTTAACGTGGCTATCGTCCAAAATATTACTTATCTGTTTCAAAAACAGCATACATAAGGATTTCCTTTTGCTTTATAGAAAGCATTAAATGCTTTATTGTGGGGGTGGAAGAGAGAAGGAGATGAAGAGAAGGAAAAATAGATGGAGACATTCCACATCCTTGTTGAAATAGTCCCTAATTACTGTGGAGGGTGAAGCTGTAATTACACAGGCTGAAAGAGACACAGGCAGAGACAGAAAATTTTTGTTAGTGCTGTGGCAGTGGACAATGGCCTTACATTTATGGGTCATGAGCTAAAGTTAACATGCCTGTGGCTAGTGTTACTGTATGTCTCTGTGGCAGATGCTGCTACTTTCAGTAGCACTGGCCACACCACGCCACCAGGCCAGCTGAGCAGGCAACCACAGTGCTGCTCTGAGCTCCAGACCGGTCATGCTGTTGTACAGAAAGTAGTTGATACCCACATGGTTTGAGTGTCCCTTTCGATGGGGACATTTTCATGGAGTTCGTTTTGTTTTTTA